AGTTTTAAATTGTTATATTCATATATATATATATATATATATATAAAACATCAACATTTTTTTGAGCAAATTGTAATGTGAATCTCGATTTTCTTATTAATTTTTTCTTTATTAAAAATTTTATTTTTTAAAAATATATTTTTTTTTATATTTTTTGCATTCCTTAAATATACATATATATTTTTTTCCTTATATAAAAATATTAAAATCTTCGTAATGTGTGACATTAACCAGCCGCATTTTACGATTCGTCAAAACTATTTTTTATTTTTTCATAAAAGAAAAAGAATTTTAAGGCATCACGTGAATTTTTTTTTTAGTGAAAATTTGACTTCAAAATTTTTATTAAGAAATTTTTATAAATTACTTTACAAATTTAATAAAAATAATTTAAAATTTATAAAGTAATTAAAAAATATTAATAAAAATTTAGAATTCATTTCGAATAAGAGTACATATGACAATATTATTTTTTCGAATACATACGTACGTTGTAAAACTACAGTTACTAATTAAAAGATATTAATGTCAATTGAAAAAATCTAAATTATTATTATTATTATTAGGAAGACAAACGAGTTAGTAAATTATTATTTTCGAAGACAACGTCCATATCAAATATACATATGTATATATATTAAAAGAGAAGAGAAAGAAAGGAGGAAAAAAAAGAAAGACATAAAGAGAGAAACAAAAAGTGAAAAATATTTAGATATGGTAAATGTCATTGTATCAAAGTTACAATATGTACAATATTGAGCATTGTTATTATCAATCTAAATGCTCGTGGAAGTCCGTTTCCAGCTTACCTGCGGCACCGCATGATGAAGGTGAGTATACTGAGCTTGCTTCGTCGTCTAAATCATCTTGACTACTGAGTCGACCTATAAACATCAATTTATATAATAAATGATGATAGATATTTATATTATTTATTATGTTATAAATTATAAAAATCTAATTGAAATTGTATTATTAAGAGAATTAAAATAATAAATTAAATCAAAATTTGTTACACAAAATACTGATAATATTGCATTTCTGTTAATGTTAGTAACAATTATATCAAAATCATTTATGAATTACAAAATACTTCAGATATTTAAATAAATAAATATTAATTAAAAATTTTGATTTTATAAATATATATCTATATACCTCTGAGTCCAAGACCTCGTCCGTTGGGTGTCCCTCTATATAAAACAGTTTCTAAATAGCTTAGACCATTATTATTGATTATATTAAAGCCACATAAGAGCTCAATTTGTTTCCAACGATGTACTCTTTCTTGTAATTCTGCGGTGACTTCGTTTAATGCAGTTCTTGCTTCCACTATACTTTTGTCAACTTCATCGATCGATTTTCCATGGGTTGAAACAAATGCTCCTACTAAACTTGATCGTTTTTTTCGTAATTTTTCACACTGGCAAAAATTTAATAAAATCAATATAGACAATTATGTTACAAATATATAAAAAATATTTTACTTAATTACAAAAAAAAATACATTTACTTACTGCTTCTCGTGCTTGTTGCAACTGTTTTTCTGCACTTATTTTTTTCTTTGTATATGCCTTATTTTCAATTTCATGAGTTAATTGTAGCCAATGTTGCAATCCAGGAGGAGGGGACCAACATCTGTCTTCGAGTTCACCCTCTGCACGTTGCAATTCAACTTTTAACATCTGCCGAGTAGAAATTAATTACATTTTAAAAAATATATTTAATATAAAATATAAGAATATAGAGAAAAATATTTACTTCAATTTCTGCTTTTAATTGAGAAACTTCAAGATCTGAATAAGAAGCATGTAATCCTACACTTTCATCTTGTAAACGTTTCTCTAAGTTCTGTTTTTCAGTAGTTACACTTTCTTGTTCCATTCGTGCTCTTTCTAATTCTTTCTGTAAAAAATCATAAATCATAATATTAATAAAATTAAATATAAAGCTACCAAATAGATATTGGTAAGATAGAAAGAAAAACATACTTGCAAGTCTTCCAATGCTAATTCTGCTTTGTGTAAACTCTCCATATCTTTCATCATTCTGTGAAGATGTTTCTGTGAATTTTTCTTCTGTTGATATGCATACCAGCAACCAATAAGCGCGCCAAATAATAATGTTATTAATATCAAATCTTTTACACTATGTCCAGTATCTATAACAAAGTATTAAATAATTAATTAAAGAATCTATTAATGAAAGATATTTTAATAATTATTTACCCTTTGGAGGTCCAAAAAGAACTACATCCATAGCTTTTAAGGCAATTTTTTGTTTATGAATGGGATCTTTGATGCCTAATACATTAGTCAAATAATGCATATTGTTCACAGCTAACCTGAAAAAAATCAAGATATATTTTTCTATAAGAAATTTTTATATAATATGAAAATGATATATTATTTTATAGAAAGTCACCTTGGAAGTGTAGCACCAGTTACACGGTGTTGTATAAAAGTAGGAACATATTGTGGAAGATCTACATTAGAAGATAACCATTCTGATGTTTGTTCTATAGTCCAATTATGAACCTATAAAAGAAAAAAATATATATATAAAAATGATAAGATATCAAAAGAATTTAAAATGTTAAAAGAGAGGTATTAGATAATACCTCTGATCTTAACCAGGCTTCCCAAAGTTCTCGAACACTAATATGCATATCATCATTATGATGAAAAGCTCTTTGTCTTCTTTCATACCCAGCTTCATATTGTAATTCTTCTCTTAAAAACTAAAATAAAAAAATTTATTTTTATAAAAAATTTTTTTAACTATATTAAATAAATTATAAATAGAAATTTGTTTACATCATCTGACTCCGATAGATCCACATTTCCATTGGCATCATCATCTAGTTGACTATGGAGTGACTTGATAGCTTCCAAACCTAGTCGATCATGAGAAGCCATTGTTGTAAGACAAGCTAGGTCATCGTTACAAGTATCAGAACCTGTAATAAATTAAACAGCCTACGTTTGATTGTATGTGTTTATGATTATATGTAATTTGTTATACAGGTGCCATTTTTTATAGAACTGTGTACCTGTTAAACATGTTTAAAAAGCTTTTCATCCAATTATTATTAATACAAAAATTGTGAAAAAGTCTTGTTAATAGACACTAAATAAATCTGCACAATGATATATTATTATTAAATGAAAATATAAATTATCTTTAAAAAAAATGATTAGATCATTTATGAAATTTATCTTTTTTAATATGAATTTTTATCATAAACACATTTTTATCTATTTTGTAACCAATAATAATACCAAATAAAAAGAAAACTTCAAATTTTTCTTTTTAAGCTTCGTGAATATCTTCACACAAAATGATAATGCAAATTAAACCCAACTTCTTTCTACAAATTAAATACATGCTCTATAAAAAATTTATACATACATATAAAAAATTTAAATACAAAATTAATAAAACAAACAAGAAGATTAATCAAAAAAACACAATAAACATAATATAAATTAAATAACACTTTCAGCCAACAATCAAAACATTGATAAAAAGAGAAGAAAATTTACCAGCTTCGTGAGCCACAGCTTGTGCCAGTCCATCAGTAAGTGTAGCGGAGAATGCTGTGACTTTGGAATGTGAACTTCCAGTGGAGCCAGACTGAAAGTTCGGACTCGCATCAAGGGCCCCGCCGCTAGCATCTACTGTGTTGCAACACCAATACAAGAAATGCAACCCGAACAGTACAATCACATTAGTAATCACGGATGATCGCATTTTAAGGTTAGTTACACCTTGTCACTGACACCTCGCGCCCCCCTTGCGCAGTTGCTACAAGTCAAATAAAACCGAATACTCTTGGCCCGTTGTCACCTTTGACGTAGACCCGCAATAGTGAATATATCCAAGGTTACAATTATCAAAACCGGGATGGCAATGCAATTTGACGAGTGCATAACACGCGTGATCGATTATGATATTAGCAGCTCTGCAACCGAGTAACACACCATCGTTATTAACCCCATCAAGGCGTCGGTCAATGTCCGAGATCTCTTTTTAAAATAAATCGATTGATTTATTAATTAAGTACACTCCGCTCTTCTGCTGTGTGTCGAGTTTTTCTATCAAGGCCACCTTCCATGAACAACATTGTGAAAAATCATTAATTTAGATCGGAAACAACAATATATTTTTCTATATGTAAAAAACAAAAAATTCAATTGGCCCTGTGTATGGTTATTCGCGTGATTTTATTGGCTTAGCATTGCAGTTGCATAGTAAACTATTACTAGCGCCAGTGTAGCGCGAAAATTATTTGTAAAATGTCTTCTTGCAGAGTGAAGTAATGATATGATACAACTGTTTGATATTTTGGAAAGAATTTTACAAATATGTTAATTAATTATTCTGATAATTATTCTAATTAAATGGATAATTTTATAATATGTATCTGCTTACAAAAAAATTGCTTATCATTTTTTAATTTCTAGATTTTTATTTTAAACAGATACATATTCGATCTGCTCGAAAACACGCTCAGAATTGTATAATCTGTAAGAACGCACAGTACGAGTATCTATCATGTTTTGGAATTCAATATCATTAAATTTTCATAATTACGTAATTTTTCGATTACGTTGTATTTATATTTATATATAAATTAGATTCTTTTGAATCATCAATGAATATTAGCTTTGAAAAAGCTTGTGTTTATAATTGTGTGTACATATGAATATAATTACGTTTTAACGCAGCAATAAATCACTGCTACGTTTGTTTCTGAAGTCTAATTATGTTAAAACGAGTTTTTATACAATTTCTTGATTAAATTATGATATTAATTTTACAAGTTGTAATGCAAATATTTTTGATCATAAATTGACAATGTTGTTGATCAAAGTAATATATGTTTTAATATGTTATAAAATTCGAAACATCTAAGGATTTGAAATTGTTGAGATCGCTTTATATTTTTTGTGAAGATATTAGAATGGAAAATAACACAAAAAACGAGGATTGTGAAATTCAGGGAATCAATTCAATTATCAAAAAAGAAGAAGCTTTATCCCAAAATGTACAAAATTGTTCAGAGACAAAAGTACCCACGGATTCCAAGAATACTCAAGTTCGTGTCGTTCGTGGAACTAAAAAAATGAAATTAGATGTTTGTGATGGTAATAACTTAGAAAAAAAAGGTTTGTATTATTAATTGATAATATGTATATTAATCAAAAGAATTCAATAATGAAATAATTTCTTAATTAAATTTTATTTGATTGTATAATTATAAAAAATTGTTTATATCTATGTTTAGATTCCAAAGATGAAGAAAATAATACAGAAGTAAAAGTAAGATCTCTAAAAAGATCTTGTGAATTATGGTCCATGGAAGATAAAAATACCTTCTTCAAAGCATTGAACGAATATGGAAAAGACTTTGATGCTTTGCAAAGTTATTTTTTAAATCAAGGAAAGAAAAAAGGTTTGCCAGATGCTGCAATAAAAAATAAGGAACAAATAAGACATTTTTATTATAGAACTTGGCTAAAAATATCAAAACATTTAAAATTTTCAGAAGGTAATTGATTAATAAACTGCTATAATTTAATTTTCATTTAATAAATGCTTCATTAATGTTTTATTTCAGATGTAAAAAAAACTTCACAAGAATTATATGGATTAATTAATTATGGTGAACTTAGAAGAAAGTTACCACGAATATATGAAAAAGTACATTTAAAGCTAAATGAACTTGTTTATTGGGGTTCAACACAAGTAAGGCTTAGAGGAAAAACTATGAGAATTAAAACACCTATATGTAGAGCATTAAGAAAATTGAATCAATTGGAAGGTATTCTTAATAATTAAAATCTTATAATAATTCAAGAAATATTTAATATTATAATGTTTTCATAGATTGGCAAGAAGAAATTAAACTTCCTTCTAGAATAACAATTGAATTAAGACCTCGTAATAATATGGCATGGTGGCAAGTACAAGCATCATCAATGAATCCAAGAATACGCACCTTATTGCCCATACAAAGACGTCTGTCAAGTTTATTAATATTTTTACAACAAAAATGGAGACCTGCAAAATATAATACAGTATCCTTTTCATAATAAATTGCTAATATAAATTAATATAAATAATTAATAATAATAATTAATATAAATTATTTATATTAATATATTTATAATAATTAAAAGTATTGTATAATAAAAATGAAAAATATAATATGAAAAAATCCTATATATATAACACAGTTCCCTAATGTAGAAAATGCTATTACTAATGAAATGAAAGATACTCGATTATTACGAGTGGCACCACCTGAAGGAAGTAAAATTGCATTACCAATGGTGAATCTTGGAGAATATCTCACTAGTAATAGTGTTAGTTTAAATTCTTATGAAAAACGTTTAGGTCTGAAAAGTTCCAGAATGGATATGTTAGGATCTGTACAATATTTAAAAGGTGTTGGAAAAAAGGGAATTAAGAAGAATAAAATGGATAAAAAATGTATGAATCGTGTAGAAGATAATTGTATCATGCCAGATAATAATAGCGATATAGATGTAATAGAATCTGGTAGTAATGTTTCGGAAAAACCATCGACTGTTAATAATTCCGAAACTTCTAATCTGGAACAACAAACAGAATTTAATGGATTTCCGGGCAGAGAAACTATTGAAAGAATTCGTAAAGGATGGAATATAGAAGAAGCAAATACTATCACTGTAGGAGATCTCTTTTTAATGGTATACATTTTATTTAAATCTATGTTGAATAAAAGTTTAAAATTACTAGAACTTTATTCATCAGAAACGCATCATTTCTAATTTTCTAAGTCTTCTAGTTTGGTCGCGAATCAAAAGTAACATTGGAATATTGGTGGGATTGGAATCATCGAGAACACATTGGAGAATCTACATCAACAAGTTTACACAGCGACAATCTATGTCTTACATTACAAAAATTATTATCCATAGCAAAACATAGATATGGCACAAGTAAAGTATATGACAATACTTCTGGGAGTAATGAAACTGTGATCTCCTCTCGAATTCTTTCGACGAAAGAATCGACTTTTAGAAGACCTTTAATTCCACAAACTTATCACAAAATTGGAACTCCAGATGCATTCAAAACACAGTTAGATGTTCGTTTTGATTTTGTATTTTTTTTTTTTAAATTAAATATTAATTTATAAAATAATTTTATTTTTGAAATACAGAAGTTTAAGACACGTTTTAGTAAACGAGGCAGAACTGTGAGACAAAAAAGTCTTATTGTACAAAGGGTATTGCCTATCATATCTACACCAAACAATTCATCAGAAGATGTAATATCTAATCCTCAAGAAGAAAATAAAATAAATGATTCTTCTATAAATATTAATGATCATCAAAATGAGAAATCGTCATCTATAATTATAAATGAATCACAAGTGAAAAATTTATTGGATGAACTTGAAGTGGCAAGAGACTCAAAACCTACAAATTCCATTATAACAAGTGCTACACAAATACTTAAAGAGGGAGAACATCAATGGTTGAATAGCGAGGTAAATTTTTTCTCTTTAAAAGAATATGAAATAAACAAAAAATTTTTAACAAGTAATATTAAATTCCAGGTAGCAGATTTTTCATTAAGTAGCTTTCTAGGTCAACTAGAGTCTCCTATGAAGATTTCACAGAGGATTCAGAATGAAGACAATATAGAAGATAATCGTCCATCATCCGATGTAAATATTGATAATAAAATTGAGAAAATTAAATATATTATATATTAATTAATAAAAAATTATATATGAATATTACAGGTTGTTTCACATATGCAGTGCCTGATGGGAGAAAATAGTGTTGATTATATGGCAAAATTTGCAAATCTTGCATCACAAATTGCATCGGATGATAATAAAAAATAAAAATATAAATAATTGATTAGTTTTGTACAAATTTTAACGAAATATCTATTTTAAATCATGCAAATTGAATGATGTTTTATAGTTAGAGTATGCAATGATATTTAGATTGACTAATTTATCTCTTTGATATTAACTTTCATAGTTGACTGTAATAATAATTCTAATATTGATAATAATAATAATAAATGAAAAATAAAGTAATTTATATACATATATAAAATCTTTATAAAATTTTATTTTTTCATTATTAATAATTTGTAAAATATATATTTATCATACATATTTAATTATATATAATATTTTGTTGTGAAACAAATTGTCAATATTATTTCAAATAATCATATTTTTTCTAAGGAACACAAAATGAATTTTTATACTAACTATATCTATCTAACTTCTTAATCTTGTATCAATCATTCATGAATACTCATAAATATTTCATCTTACGTTTGATGGTATAAAGATTTATTGAAAACTGTACAAATGCGGGAGGAATACGTTTATAAATAAGATATTTAGCATCCTTGTTTAACCTATAAAGATGACGCGACATTTGTTTATGGAATCATTTAGGCAAGTTCTCGTATATAAAATTCTCGGTATTGCGTTGCAATCTCATGTAACTAATTACGCGTGTTGAAAGAAAAAATAACGAATTCCTAGTCTGCAATTCCTTTTACCGAGAGAAACTATAAAATTCAATTATTTCAGCAAACTCGATTAAATATGATTATTATTAAATATATATTGAATATAAAAAAAATAGATACAGCTACATGTTATTGTTTACTGTTATTTATTATTACAAATGAATAATTTTAAATTAATCCCTCGATTAAAAGATATTTTAAGATCTACGAAAATAATTTTCAGGAATATTATTACTTCTAGTACTGGTATTAAGGAGCTATATATATCGAAAACTATTTTAGCAAAAAAGATTTTTATCTGATGATAATCACTAAAATCATGACGGTATTTTATAAAAAAAAATTCTGTAAAAAACTTTAAGTCTTTTAATTGAATATCAAAGTTCAAATTAAAGATCGAATTAAACATTGATCGATTAAAATAGTAATCTTTAATTAAATTAGAGATGTTTGAGAAAATTATAAATGCCTCGAATGTAATAGGAATGACAATGAGCGGAACATCCCGAAGATATTCGTATTCTTAGAACTAAGCTAGCAGTCTTTTCGATGGCGCATTGCGAAATAGATATTGTGAATGATTCATAGTGCCCGCGTCCACGTGATCTTATGCGCACGCACCTATCAACTATTTGTTATTTACAGTGTGATTTCTCTCATATGTAATCATCTTTTAAGTATATTTAAGAATGAATTGATT